AGAGCAGTTGCAGCAAATACTGAAACCCAATTCATTCTATGTCTTTAACACTGGGAATGTAACTCTGCCTTTCAGATTGGAACGGTAGTTTAGACTTGTTGTACCAAGAAAACATTTGCATGTGTTTGTCCAAAAGACACATACACACACATATATATATGCGTGTCTGTATGTAGGTATATTTACAAACACACATATGAAAGTACACACGTATATATATTTTGTACTTCCCTTGAAAACGGATGGATCAAGTTTCACACTGGATATTTAGCTAAATACTTGTCCTAATAGAGAGCAGAAATGGCTCAGTGTATAAATGGCTGGATAGCATGAAGTACTGTGCATGAAAAGCACGTAATCTGTGGTTGTGGGAAAGTATGAGTAAGAATGGAGGGACAAACCAAAGCAGACAAGGACTTCACTGCATATGAGATCACCCTTAATTTTAATGCCTTCACCTTGGAGAGTCTCTCAGACAACTTGCAGCATTATAACTACAGAAAAACTGAATAGAACATTACTGGAATGTTTTCAAATAGATTTGCCTTCAGTCTATGGCAAAGTTGCAGTGGTTTTATTTCTGTAATAGTATAACTATGTCTTAGGAAAGGACTTTGTGTTTTCCTGATAACATAAGCACTGGGAGCCTTCGGGTACCTGGGAAAACCGTGGGGGAAATTTTAGTCTTAGAGGCAAGATGGTGGTTTGCCAGTGCTGTGAGTTATAATTTTCCCTTCTGGTTGATAGAACATGGGATATAAGACTTCATGGTTTGTCACTGATGGCTACTTTCCTGTGGAACCACTTTTTTCCCAAAGTCTAGTTTAATTTCTCTTGAGCAGAAGATTTATTTGTACCTTTTGGTTATTCTTTTTTCTTTATATACATTTTTAATTTGGTGTCTTCCATTTGTTTCATTGACATGCCACTATAAAATTGTAAGCTTGAAATGGTATTGCAGAAATTTTGGATGATTCTGTCCCACATAAAGAATGAAATTATTTAAGAAACAAGTAGTTTAACAGCAGAGGAAAAGTGGATTTAATACAAGTTGTAGTGATATTGCTAAGGTTGCTAGTACTCATTAACAGATAGCCTCACAGTTTGTTTCGAAAACAGGAAGAACCTAAGCTCTTGCAGCAACTAGATAACGATGATATACTGACCTGTTTATATCAGGTAGATAAGGAAGTTCTGTTTGAATGAGCTAATTTTGTGAAATCAAATATTGTGTGATCAAGGCAAGGAGCTAACTGAGCATGCATAAATACTGAGTTTGCCCAGTGAACACAGTGAGGAAGAGCTCTGACTTCATCCCAAGGGTCTTGGGATCACCACCACAAAAAGACTGAGCTTGTGCAAGGAGACACAACCCTCTATTAATGATTTTGAGGAAAGTACTGAATATGTATGTACTACTGAGAAAAGCTTTTGCATACGTAAGACAAGTAATGTATATAAGATGAAGATCTTTTGTGCAAGTTATGCACGGTAGGTGGAGAATGTCCCCAGTGCGTCCAGTGCTGATAAGAAAGAATGCCTGCTTTCTAAGCTTTATGGTATCAGATTCAGTTTCAGATGGAATGCTCTTATTTTTTCAATCGATGTTGTGAGCTTACTCAGCTCCATGCCTATATTGCAATCATATTTTTTTCCCTGATAAAACATGTAGGTACAAATGGTTGCAAATGCATTAAATCAATTTCATTCTATCATAGCTTTCTGTCATTTGCAAACTAAACCCACTGATGAAAACTGATGTCAAGTAAAGTTATGTTTCTGCAGTCAAATTGCACATTTATTTATGCTGTGCTTATATGTATTACGAGAGTTCCTCATGGACTTTTTCATTAGAATCCAATCTTTTTGCCTGACAGAGGATGCATCACGTGAAATCTTGCAGCTCCTCATATTGTAGCACTTTTCTATAATCTGTCTCTCTTAGAAGCTTTCTAATGGCATCTATTCATTTTCTCAATAGATTTTAAATACTACTGATCCTGAGCAATTTGTTTAATAAGGCTCCAACTATCTGTGTAATTATTCCAATCTGTGCCTCTTTCTCAGCTTTTGCCTGCAAGGCTGATAAATGGGGCAAGGGGAAAAGGGCAGCCTCCTGCTCCAGGCTTCAGAGCACTGGTCCCACTTTGTCTCTGGCATTCCCAATGGGGAACTCCCTTTGAAAGGGCTGCTGTGACAGAATGTGCAGGAGAGCTATGGAAATATTATTCAGCTTTATTTAAGAAGTCTAAAGTAATATCAGTCGTGGCAAACTGCATCCTTATCTTGTGAAATATTACATTTTTATGACTATTGTATCGTTTCCCAGCATTTTGCTGCCATAGTATCACCTTACTCATGAAATCCATGATTATATCAGGAACAGAGTGAAGTTTCTCTCTTTGTGCTTGCAGAGTTAAAGAGGAATGATAAATTTGGTCTGGATTATAGGCGTTTTTTATGCAATTTAGAGTGAATGCTAATGATGAATCATCTTCATATGTTTATAGACACTGACCTTTTTAGCTGCTGTTTTGGTTATGCACAATTATGAGATCAGATACATGGATATCAAGTCTTTGTTACATGGTGTGCAGAAGCACAGTAGAAGTTGTACTGCATGTCTTTTCTGTATTTGTTTCTCAATACTTTCTAGACTTTTCTGTCTTTCTGAGAATAAAATAAGGAAAAGATGTTATACATTTTAACTCAGCCCAGACTGGTAGCATATGGTTAAATGCCAGCTGAAACATTTTTTGTTCAGTGTCACCTTTAGATCAGAAAATGAAATGTGAAACACATTAAGGAAAAGAACAGAAAGTACTCTCAAATAAGAAAGCATGCTTTTTAGTAGCTGGAAGGTTACATGCAGTGTCATGGTTAAAACAAGATTATAGACCTACCTTGTCTAAAGTGAATGTACCTCCATTTGTATATTTAACATTATCTCAGCATGGGCAAATTTTTCTTCTTGGGAAGTTCAAAAAACAAAACAAAAAGACTTGCTTTATGCTTATCCAAGACCTTTGCCTTTTCTGTTCAGGAACGGTTTATTGGTTTGTTTTTTTTTTTCTTTTTTCTTTCATTCTATTTATGTATGTCCATGAAGTTTGCGTTTTCTTCATTGAAGCACTTGTGGCTGTGGATGGTGTTACCATCCTCTCCTCCAAATAGTTCCCATGAGAAGGCAGAAATCAAGTGCTCTGTGGGAGACAGGATTGAGCTAGTTTTTCTGGAAAATGATCACCTTTGAGATAAAAGCCAAAGACATGACTTTTGAGCCTGTAAGTAATTCTCTTATGACTCTAAAACCTTTGCTCCAGAGGAAAAGTTTACTTTAGCCTAGACTTTAGAGTAGGATTTAAATTAGTATTGAATTATATATTATACTTCAGTTTTTAATCCTAAAATTGCTGTGCTTGTTTGTGATCTGCATTCCTTTGACCTCAGAGGTTTATGCCCCTTACTGGGGAGCAACCTTCTGCTGTACTGCCAAGCAGCTGCCAGGTAAGTAATCCTGCAAAGACTTGCATTGCGAATGGATAGACTTCCCCCCTCTCACAGTGATGCTGCAGGACTGGAAGGGAAAGAGTGAATTAGAGAAATGATATTGCACATCAGTGTTCTGAAATACTAATATGGAGTGTCTGGGAATCAAGTAGCTTAAAAAAAAAACACCTTTTCAAACTGTGGCTTTGTGCGAACACCAGGCAAACCTTTAGGATCTATAAACAAAATCTGAGTATTTCAGAAATCATATGACCTTGTGCACGTAGTCTGATGCGAGTGGAAGGGTTGGATCTCCAGTATTCCTTTTGAACATCAGATTATAACAACTGGAGGACAACATATATTCTAAAAGAAAAAGGATAGGTACTTGAATAAGACCATTATCTGCAAATCCATATTGTTCAATTATGACCTTGAGAAAGTTTTACTGTTCCAGTATTGTGAAGGAAATGATTAATATTTGGCCGCTGTTTGGGATAGGAATGAAATTGAGACATTCTGCAACTCTTGAATTGGTGTTGATATGTGTAAAACTACTTCAGATAAGATAAGCAGTGACATAGTAAAGATTTCATAGGAGCTGTCTAAATGAATAATTTCTTTTTTGCATTCTAGTGTGCTAGTGGAGTGGTTAATTATACAGATTTGTGAAAGAAGAAAAAGCTCTGGTCCTCCTGTTTCTTCTTGTCTCTGTGTTCTTGTGCCTTTGTTCAGTCTGTGAAATTGTTTTTTCTTACAATGCAAGAATGTAGAATATTGTTTCTCCTCTATCTTCTTCAGCATCCTTGTGTAGCTGTTGTTCCATCTTCATTTTCACTTGCTTCCAGCCTCAAGGTATAGTTTTCCAGGCTAGTCTTCAGTCCTACAGCTGTCTGGAAAAGCTTTTGCTGAGGACTTCATTAAAACTTGCATGACTTTATCTTCAGAACCCTGCATAAAACTAATCTTGATCTCCATGCTACTTGTGAGGTAGTTGATCTCGCCCTAAGATTTATGATCTCTGCCATAAAAGTTTCAGCTGACTCCCTTTGTATTGTATGGTTTCCTGTGCTTATTGCAACAAGGAGGAATGATCCTTAGTGTATTTAGTTAATTATTTGAGTGTCCATTATTATTTTTATTAATGTATATCACATTGTTTCATTATTCCATGGTCCCAGTTAAGATGTGATGGAAACCTGTGTGGTCAAAGATTCCACAGCAGATTGCAGTGCTACTAGCTTCTATAAACTGACACACATAAAAGTGTAATAATTTTCCTTGTGAAACAGTGTTGTTGAGTATTTTATTACCAGTTCATTGCCTCTTCAAGGGACGTTTACCATGCAGTAAATACATGACTAATTATATACCATCAGTGGACTTTTTTTTCCAGATATCATTAGATTGTTACCTGTCACAGCAGAATTGGAAGTTCTGTATTGTTTTGTAATGAATTAAATCTTCTTTCAGAATATCAGTAATCATTTAAAAAACTTATTTGCCCACAGGGTGGAGTTCATTTCTTTTCTTCTTGGAAGCTGAATAGCAGAAAGGGGCATTCAGCTTTTCCTGATAAAGGTAAGACAGCATCCATTGATATGATAAGACCCAGTTCATTATCATGAGCTCATAGAAAGTTTGTCAATGGAGGGTTTGTTTATTCTATTTTTTTTTTTTTGGTTCAAGTTCTATGCTTTGTAGTAAGTTCAGTGTGTGATAACATAAGTTGCATTGGGAATGGAATGTGTAATTTTACCACAGGTATCAGTAAAAGCACTGAAGATAAGCAAGTACATGTAGATCAACATGACAAAGTGGATAGCAATTTGTTCTACCATTGAAGCTTGTGACATTTTCCATATGTTATTCAATTGGCCTGCCCAACCGTTGTCCATAATACTTACACATATTCAGTCAGAACTCTTTAAATAAGTAAAAAGAGTTGTCCATGCCTCTTCTCAAGGACAATGTACTGACTTTCTCTGTATTGCTGCATGAGAGCCAGAAGTCTTAAGACCTATTTAAATTGCGATATGCCTTCAAAAATAAGTAGTAAATGCCTATCCAACTTCTTGTTACTGGAAATAGAGATGAGGATAAAATTCTGGAAATCTCCTCTGAGATGTTTTCCCCAATGATCTTTACTTTCCATTGTGCTAAAATATCTTTTTATAACTGCTACAGAACATGTTAGGAAGATTTAAAGGTGCAGAGTGTATTGACATGCTAGCTGCACATTTTGATGCCAAAATTAGCATAAAGCTATTGGCTTTCTTTATCTCCTTTTGGCAAATTTTGAAAGGTATCTATAGGTAAGTTTAATTTGGATGACTGCGAAGATTTGTGTTGTCTATTTTAACAAAGACCACACTTGTAGCAGATTGTTCATCTGTGTGTCCTGCATGCTGTGCCATACAGGTAGGCCCTGCAAATCAATTCTGTTGCAAGACTTTACCAGTTTACACATGCTTACTATACTATAGTCTGCATCTAGAAAGAGAGCGAGCTATAATCTTCATGCCTTTGAGGTTGTATAGGCTGGTAGACATGAAGAGTTGCATTGCCTTCCTGCTTAGCAAACTATACAGAAAAACATATTTTTGGTATAGACGTTTTCTTTCAAATTTTTGTCTGGTTTATGAAATTATGGTTTGTCTTTGATCACCTATTCCCTGATAATATAAAAAATTCTCTTGAGTTCAGTAAAATTCTTCAAATGTACCTTGGTGCAACTCCTCTCCCGTTCCATCTCATGAAGCTGTTGCCCCTCATTTCAAAAATTCACATTTTATCACTGTTGTTTTTTTGTTTACTCAGTGTGCATAATCTCAAAGGCTAAACTGCTTTTGGGTGAATTCTAAATCAATCCCGAAAGGGGAGAGAAATTTTCCTGCTGAAGTGGTACATCTCTTGGAGGACTTGTGGACCCTTAGTAAAGGAATCTGTTTCAGTGTTAGACTGCTAAAGACATGGGGAAAAATTCCTATGCTAACATACATAAAACTGTATTAATAATAATTTAGAGATAAATTAATATGACCTAAACTTAATCTCATTCTAGCAAAACCTATGTTGAAGGAAATGAGGATTTACTGGGTTAGGATCTAATTGAGTTTGTTTTTTTCTCTTTAATTTTTTATTCTTCTCTGCATTGGAGAACTCATTTGAAATATATTTCAATATATAGTAGTACTGTGTCTAATGTGTTAATTTGTTGGTTAGAGTCCAATAACTTTCTTCCTACTGTAAGACTCAAAGTCCCAAACTGTAATGAAACAGAATGCTCTTGCATAATAATAATAATAATAATAATAATAATAATTTGCATTGAATCAGAGTTGTTTCTCCTTGGAGACTGTGGTTCTTGTGCATCCATTAAAAATTTCCTGGTGATATCTGTAATAGGTTAGATCCAGCTCACTGCACTTCTTTCTTTATTTGGAAAAATTAGATATGTTTGCAGTCCCTGGGGTGTTTGGTTCCCTGTAGGTGCACAAAGCAGCCTGTGCAACAGATTAGCATGTCTTTGCATGGGCTTGGTTACTCCATGGGAGTGTAGAAGCTAGGAGTTTATACTCCAAGCTTATCAGTAGACAGCTGGGTTTAGGAATTATACTTATTGATAGAAATTCCCAAATGTGATCAGTGACAGATTTGGTTCTTGTCTGCAATGAATCAATGCTCATGTAGATTTGTGGGAGGAACTTAAGCTGTACGAGGTAGAATCGCTGAATAGTATCACTGAAAAAAAGTACATTATAATTTATGAGCTCTCATACTTCACTGTACTATAACAATTCTTTCAGGTTAAATACTCTTGCAGTATCTGTAGGTTTCATGAAGAAAAATATTTTAACTATACCCTGACTTCAAGCCCTGGTCTGCTGCAAAAAGACTGTCTTTGAACACTAAGTTAATTTAGATTTCTTTTGACATTACATGCTTCCACCTTATACGCTGGAAGTTTTAAACTCTAAGAATTGTGTATAATGATAGTACAAATAGTTTGACGACTGGCAATGCAAGTGGACTGCAAATTCAGTTATGCTTTCTGCTGGGAGCAGACCATGTTAATGTTTTAGAATAGTATTATAACTCAAACCTCAAGGAGGCTGAGGGAGGAAGAGGGTCAGAAATTGTCATTCGTCTTCCCTATGTCTTTTCCTTCCCTCAGATATAATTAATAGTGTGATTTTTTTTAATCATAATGTAGTTTAAGTGCAAACTTGACAATCCTTCCCATGTGTGTCTTAATTCTTTTTTCCCTGGCCTTTTTTTAAAGTCATGAATTTCTTGGGGCAGAAACAATCTTCATATTAGTCTGTTTTAGAACAGAACACAATTTTTTTGCTTATTCTTCCCACTGACCAGGGCTGTGTCAGAAAGCAAAGGCTATCCCCAGTAATAATATTTGTCTCAAAGGAGCTTGACCTTCTCTGTGATGTTATTGGAAACAAAATGCAGGAATGCATAATATCACAAATGGAGCAAGGAAAATAGGATGGTTGTTTTCCTTAAATATGAGCAGATCACTGACACTGCTCAAATGTTTGTTTTACTGGGGGAGCCTAACTTTCCAGGTAGTTAGACATTTTCTTGACTTGCTTATTTTGGATATTTTCACAAATTGATTGTAATCCAATTATCAAAGTATAATGTCAGGCCTCAAACAGACAGTAACTGCTGTTGAAAATATTTATTGCAACTCTTCCATTTAAGGAGTACTGAAAGACAAATGCTGTTTATACTTCATTTATTGCATATAGCTGACAACAGAGTCGATGAATTGATGAAACATGCAGTGGCTAGGAATCATCCTTCTGAAGATGTTCTCAGAACTTTCAGATTACTAATAAATAGCTTAGTTGCATGTTATGATGCAACAGAGCAAGGCTGATCTGTGTGGAAAATTATGCAAGATAACATCTTGTTTCCTTTCCTGTTCCACATTATAAGTAAGTAGTTCATTTCAGATCACTGGTAAGCAACTTTCAGCTTGGAAATGTGAATAATAAAAGACATATGTCTTGAGGAATGTATTTGGTTAACATACACCTCTTTCTCATGTTGTTGCTGGTTTTCTTTTGTGTCTGAAAGTTGATTAGTGCAGGTGATGGAGTGAGGAAGAAGAGATATTACCCACCAGGTAAATTTAACTGCAGTTGAAAAACTGTGTGTTTACTATTGACTCTTATGTTGGGTTAGAGAATGTATTAGCTCCTGAGAAAACTCTAGAAAAATGGAGGAGTAATGCTTAACTTTAGCTATAGCTATATTCTTTTAGAGTAGGGAAGAGGAGTCAGTGCCTGCTGACAGGTGAGGTACAGGATTTGGGAGGGGCCAAACTAATCCTAAGAGAATGCATGACTTAAAGTGCTTTTTTAGCAAGGGATGAAAAAGGGAAAGATGGGCGGTTAGTGGTTGATTTATTACTCAACTTGGAAGAATTGAAGCTTTGGGAAGGTTGGGAATGAGATTTTCTTGAGGGAATCACACAGTGCGTGGAAGAATCACTATCCAAAGTATTGGCTTTGATGTGATCCAAAGGAAGAACCTTGTTCAGGTATTGCATTGAAAGATTAATTAGAAAGAAAGTAAAACAAGGTGTTGTGGCAAGGGCAGGATAACTTAATCTTTGTAACCTTGAGGTATCAAAAGTAGTAAGTACAGGATCTAAAAACCACCTTATCTTGGTACAGAAAGTACAATTTGCATCTTCCCTGGCCTTGAATTAAAAGGCAAATTGTTAGGGTGCCTAACAAGTTCTTGTCATTCATAGCAGAAACAAGCCTGTGATATCCTGTGGAACAATGAATAATTTTCATTATTAATGCACGTCTTGGGGGTCTGTGAAGTTGTGCACCCGCTTCTAGGAAGGTGATGGGTGGCAAGTTGAGAGTAAAATAGGAAGAAGCTGTGTAAGAGTTGATTTTTGCTGACTAAGCATATTTTAACTGGATTCCAGAATATCAGTGTTTAAATATTGACGTCGTCAACCAATGCTGCTTGTTGGAATAACAGAAATTGCTTTGGAAATAAACTGATGGTTGCAGTTTCCTGTCTCTAATGATGACTACCTAATGCTCAAAAATTTAACGTGCTGTGTCCAAATAGTAAAGTAGAAGCACTGTGATAATGTACTGATTTGAAATCAGTGGGACTGAAGGACAAAGTTGAAATAAATCACATGTTGCTCCCCTGAATAGTGGTAACTGAACTTTGAATACATTTCTAGGGAATGTATTTGGAATGGTAGCACAGCCTTTCATGATGTGATTGGGACGCTGAGGTATTTAACAGCCAAATTTGGCTTGAAATACTGCATGTTGATTATCATTGCTTTGCCTGCAGTTCAATTATTTGGATAATATATTGCACAATCTATTGGCATGTTGAATGCATATGAGTGTTTCTGGAGGTGAACAAACGGGAATACTTATTTGCTAATCATGACTCAAAGAGAAAGGATTAAGCCTTCTGTAGAGATCAGACTGCTGCATTGAGAAAATCAAAGTCCACGTTCATGAGCTAAACCATGTTTGACATATTAGACTTTGATTTCTCCAGGAGACGCTATG